AGCTGGAGGAAGGAATGTTGGAGCCAAATGCAGTGATGGCTCAGGCTGTTAAAATGTGGTGAAGAGCAATCTCCCATCACTGCCTGTATCTATTAAAGTTGGAAATAGACTTTCCTCCACTGATCCCATGTTCCTGGGTTCCTGCAAAATTGGGCTCACGAAACAAGAAAGGAAGAGCCAGAGCGGCGTTTGCATTTCATGGCAACTCAAAATGTAAGCTGTAGATCACCCAAATCCTTTCAATATCATGCCATCTGGTTCTCAGAAATATCCTGGAAGATGGGTAAAGTGGCTTTCAGCACTACCATCCACGGTCCAGTGACATTCAATGCCAGCAACTGGCACAGCCAGGTCAGGATATCCTGGGTTTCTGGATGTAGGACCTGTGCACCTCTCTCCAGGAAACAGACTCCATCCATGCAGGAAAAGACTCTTCATTTCTCCTCCTCTTTTAAATGCTGGCATATCACCCTGAGCAGAGTGATTGGCCCTATGCATAGCAAGTCACTAGAGTAAAATAACAGATGAAGAAGAACCGAATGTGCCAAAGCATGCAGCATCATCAGCATCCCCGGATGTCAAGAATGAGAGAGGGACATCATTTCCCATGATAGCATGTATTTTTTTTTCTGAAATATTTGCTCCAGAGAGACACTCTACCTAGAGGTACACTTAAAATATAATAACTCCACAAGTATCTCTATGGTTACATGTCCTCATTAGATTTTCAACTATGGCAGCTTTGTTAGTGATGGATGAGAGGTAAACCACAGGTGATTGCATAGCTAACTATCTATGATGACTCTTTCTAGGGAAACGATGTGTTGGGTAGTTAGAGCAAAGGGGGAAGATGGTGACATGGCTTCCTGAGCAGTGATTTTTAAAGACTTATATGATGGGATTTTCTTGTTGATGCTATCTACAGCAATCTATTTGGCTGTAAAGAGATAACACTGCCTTGTCAACGATACCTTCACCATCATGAAACTACAAACATACTGATTTCTAACCACCTGTGTCAGCCTGCATGGATAGCTGTTTATTTGCTCAAGAACACTTTATAAAACATGGTGTTAAGTATGTATTTTTATATGTAATGTTACTAACAAAAGTTCTGAGCCTGTGGAACAATGCCAGACTTTACACTTCCAGACTGTGATGGTGCCCTTCTCAGAGGCAAAGCATAGGGATTAATAGTCTGGACACCTGAACCCCTAGCTTCTGGATGTACAGCTCTTGCCTTGCTGTTCATTCCTCTTTTTTTTTTTTTTTTCAGACAGACACAGGGACAGATACATGCATGCATACCCACTGTTGAATGTCTCAGTCCCTTCACTGCCTTAAAGGTGTTCGATTGTGAAAAGTCCTGTACCTCAGGAGATGAAGAGCTCAGGTGAACTGTGCACACATAGCTCCCTTCCAAGCACAGCTCTGAAAAGTCACTACAAATCTCAGCTGTGACCTGAGCCAAGCTCTTAGCTCTAACATCAACCAACTTGTCTTTTTTCTTTCTTTCTTTCTTTCTTTCTTCCTTCCTTCCTTCCTTCCTTCTTCTTTTTTTTTTTTTTTTTTTTTTAGACAGGGGTTCTCTCTGTAGTTTTGGAGCCTGTCCTTGAACTCACTTTGCACACCAGGCTGGCCTCGAACTCACAGAGTGTTGTGCCACCACTACCCGGCAATATTTTCTACCTTTACAAGCACATTGACCTGTAGAAAGTTCTTGTGTTTGCTTTAAGACTATTATTTTAAATTTAAATTTATCACTTTATTTTCATACAGGCATACAGTTTATGTTGAGCATATACCCCACCCCAGGATTATGCTCCCAATCCTGTTTGTCCCTTTTGTTCCTGTGGACAATTCACTTCTGATATCATTTAAAATATACATACTATATATACATATATGGTTTTATGTGACTATATAAGATCTAGGACCCCCAAATGAGAGTACATATTTGTGTCTCTCGAAGACTGGCTTAATTTGCTTAACATGATTATCTACAGCTGTGTCCATTTTCTTGCAAATGACATAACTTCATTTTTCTTGGCGGCTAAAAACCACATCCCATCATGTATATTTGTCCCGTTTTCCTTGCCCATCTCTCTCAGTTTCTGGGCACCTGCATTGGTTCTGTTATGTGGTAATTGTGAAAAATGTTGCAAAAAAACACTGATGTGCAAATATGTCTGTGTTGTATTGACTTGGAATCTGTGGATAAATACCCAGACATGGTAGAGCTAGGTCATCTTTCAAATCTGACTTAGTTTTTTGAGAAACCTCCTTTTGATTTTCACAGAGCAGACCAGCTCACCTTCCCATTGGCAATGTGTAAGTGTTCCCTTTTGTCTACCTCCCCATCAGCATTGTTGCTGCATTCTTTCCCTTTTTATTTTTTGTATATTAAATTTTATTATTAAAATGTTTTTTATTATTAAATGTTTATTATTCAAAATTTTCTATTTTTATAGTAAAATATTTTATTATTTTATTTCAATTATATGTATGTATGTGACTGTGTTGGGATGTGTGCACGTAGGCTCAGGTGCCTGTGGAAGACAGAGGAAGGTATTGGGTCGCTTGGAGCTGGGGCTATAGGTGGATGCTGATGTGGGTATTGGGAGCCAGACTTGGGTCTTCTGCAGCAGCAGAATGAGTTGTTATTGTCTGAGTTATCAACAGCCTCTGTTGCTTCTTCTTTTGTTTTAATTCAAAAATTTTTAATGAAATTCGTTTCATACAATATATTTTGATAATGTTTAACCCTCCCTCAACTCCTCCCAGATTCTCCCACCTACCCACCCATCCTTGTATACCCCCACTCCCGTGTGTGTGTGTGTGTGTGTGTGTGTGTGTGTGTGTGTGTGTGTGTGTAAGACTGTGTGTGTGTGTGTGTGTGTGTGTGTGTGTGCACTCATATGCTTGAGTGTGGAGCTCAGAGGACATTTTGGAGGAGTTGGTTCTCTTCTTCCATCATGTGGGGTCTGGGGTTTGGATTGGTGGCAAATTTTTATTCCCACTGAACCATCTCATGGGACTCAAGTCTTAACCCTAAATTCTGCAATCCAGTCAGCTCAGAAGATGAAATTCCAGAAGAGAGAAAAGAGAGTGGAATAATTTTAAAGAGTCATCTTTAATTGTGGAATTCTGTGGTTCTATGACCAAGGTATTTGAGCTTCCAGAGAGCTAAATAGGAGATTATCCATAAAAAGCAGCGTTTTAGAATGGTTCTTTTCTCCCCCTCTCCCTGTAGTCTGGTTTTCTCCCCATCAATTATCTTTTGACAAACTGCCCTTGAAACAGAATTAACATTTACCTCATGAAGAAAGAGGAGTTATTTTGAATGAGCTAAGTCACCCTGGGGGAAACTCTATTAAAAGTCCTTGGGGAAGTGAATTATTTATTGATTCAGTTTGTGGTCTAAGGTTGAGGTATGTGTTGGGGAAAAAAGGAAGCATTGTGCCTTGTGATATTTAAAAGAGGAAACAATACATAATTCTTATCTTAGGAATATGATGGTACAGAGAGCTAAATTTTGCAACTTAACTGTGCAGGGGAAGGAGAATAAGAGGGTTGTAGTTAAGCACAGTCCCAAATTTGAAATTTACTTAAAGTAGCATATCATAACAGATAATGCTAATAAGTACAAGAAGCTCCTAAGTGTTTCACTTTTTATTTTTCAGAACTTTATCATTTATTATGTATAGGCCATGACTACAACAGTCATGCTCCTAGCTTTTTTTTTTTTTTTTTTTTTGAAGGCTAAGTTGCAGACATGGAAGTGAACTTGATATAGCATAGAGAGACTGAAAGAGGAGTCTATATATATAGACTGAATATAGTCTCTAAATGACAAAAGACTTGCTATATAAATTAATATTTGGATTCTTCACAACACCACTAGACAACCAATTGGTTACATTCAACTCTTTCTAGCAATAAGTCCAACAGTGTTCTTTAAACTGTAAAACCATCAAAAAGAAATAGATAAAGGTCTAGCATGGAAAATTTGGGAATGCTATCCTCTTGAAGAAATGATCAATGTCGTGCAATTTGGTTATGACAGAACATTCCACCTCCCATGGGGTGGGTCACATGGTGCACCAATGATTCAAATTACTCCTCAAATTGGACCCCGACTTTAGGGTTTATAAAGGACGAATTTTCAAAAGAGGTCATTGCCAAAACAATCCCTTTAATCAACAGTCAGAGGATTTATCCAATGGATGGTGCCAAGCCTCCTTCACAGGGACCACGATGGTGCAGATCTTCCATCACTCAACAGGGTAAGAGGATCAAATGAATTTGTAAATGCAGATTTTTGGTTTATACAGTTCCTTTTCATCTTCTGGAAAGTGATCACTAGACTTAATCAAGGTTCCTCTGTGTATCATTAGCTAATTTTATCTTTCTCCTTAAAGATTTTTTTTTTTAAATAGTGAGTTTAGAAGACCCATTCTTAAGTCCTCTGGATTTCACATTCTCTCTGTTGAAGCCTTGAGGGAAGCTAAATTCAAAAGTAGGGAAATAGTAATTAAAAGTGATTAGGACAAGGAGTTTTGGTGCTATGCAATATGGACTCAATTCTCCCAGTTATAAGCCTAACCAAGCAGCAGTTTTGGTTTTCATTATAGCTTTACTTGCTATTTTAATAAACATGAACCAGTATTCAAACTTTTAATACCCTGCTGTTTAACTGTTTCCAGAGAGCCATCCAGCTCTTTTTAAAGAGTCTTTGCTTTAAAATTTTAATTTGTTTGGCTCAGTCTCACCTTAGAAAGTTGTAGCCTCATGGTAAACTCTTTTATAAGTTGATTTCCAGAATCATAGCAATTCTTCCCCCTGCCCCACCTCCTAAGTGTTTCCTCATGTGTCAAAGCTATTGGTGCTGACGGCTTCCCTGACTTGTTTTATCTGGTTCCCACAGCAAGTATGAGAGACAAATGCAGGAATGTGTTCAGCATTGACTGGATGCATCCAGACAGCAGTGTGGTACTTACAGCTCTTCTAGGAAGTGGAGGCTGTGGAGGAGGCTTGGGGGCAGCTGACTGATGTTGTTCATACTGAGGTCCCTGGAGGGGAAAGACAGACAGCATGTGAGGAGCAGGGTATGCCACTGCAAGGAAATCCAGCTGTTTGGTTCACACATTTCCAAGCGAGACAGTGAAATGAACTCATTCCTCTGCTTGACAAATGAATGGTCATTTTCCACCTTAAGTATATAACCCGCCAATGTCAGGGCCCCCTTCTTGAATTAAACACTCTACGAGGAGCTTTCATGGAATTCAAGATTATTTAGCCCATTCACAGGCATAGTTGTCATTCTTCATGTTTAAAATGATGTCAAGTAGGACAGAAAAGGAAGCAGACGTAACTCAACTTTGTGTTTTGCTTTCAGCTGTGTGACAAAGAGAAATGTCTTCACCTGGCCACTCTGGAAGCCCAGTTTCTCTGGGATTTTAAGCACCTTGTAAAAACAAATGTTTGGATTCAAAGAAACTTAAAACAAAACAAGACAAAAAGCCTATTCCCTCTTCGAACTTGCTCCTTTTGCAGCTTCTCAGATTGCATTAAATAAGTGAAATGAACCATAAAACGAGGGTGTAAGGTGATCCTGTTCTGTCGCACACTTCCTGCTGGGCCTGCACAGTAGTTCCTGGCACAGGAAACAAGAAGCCACTTTGGGCAGAACTCAATCAATTTTGTTTTAAGTGAAAGTGCGTGTAATTAGATTTCATTCTGTTTTTTTTTTCTCTATTTCTTTACTGTCTCTCACATCAGCATCACTGTTCAGCATCACTGGTTTTTCTATCTGTATCTCAGAAGCCCAAATACTGACAGCTGGGCAGACCTTAACCAAGACCAATTCAGACTTAGTATAGTCCTTGCAGGTTTGGGTAGGAAGTGACCTGTTGTGCTATCCTGAGAACAAATGCTGTTATAATATCAGATCTGGATTCTGTACTTAAAGCTCATCTGAAGACTCTAGGTTTCTTTACAATCTGAATTATCCCTGTTGTTAAAGTACATGCACCCATTGCAAATACTCAGTGGAGCAGACATTGAACATGGAGTTAGCATTTGTCAGATGTTATCATTAACTCAATGATGCTACGCAGAGTTATTTTTAAAATTAGCCAACATGGGGCTGAGGAGATAGTTTGGTGGATGATGCATTTGTCATGCAAACATAAGGACCAGGGTTCAGATCCTCAGTACCCATGAAGCCAGGCAGGTATGGCAGTCCGTTCTAGAGCTCTGGAGGCATAGAGACAAGGGACACTCGGGGTATACAGGCTAGCTAGACAAGTTGGAATCAGTGACCTCAGGGTTTGCCAATATACCCTGCCTCAGTAGAGTGAAGGGTGATTGAGAAAAATACCCAATGCCACCCCTCAGGCCTCCATAAACATGAGCACACATGTGCATATGCACACACACTTGCTTGTGTACACATGTATGTCCCCACATGTAAACAAACATACACATGCATGAACAGTGCACAACCTATACATGCAAAAAAAGGTAACAAATACAGCACTCTCATATCTAGATTTTCCAAATGGAAAATCAATAAAGAAACATCAGTTTCAAACTATACCATATTTCAAACAGACCTAGCAGATATTGATATAATTCAGATTCCATCAAGTGAAAATCAGTGGGGGAGGGTCCAGCCCATGTGGGTAGTGCTATCCTTGGGTAGGTGGCCTTGGTTCCATAAAAAAGCAGGCTGAGCAAGCCATGTTGAGTAAGCCAGTGAGCATCACCCCTCCATGGCCTCTGCACCAGCTCCTGCCTCCAGGTTCCTGCCCTGCTTGAGTTCCTGTCCTGACTTCCTTTGGTGATGAACAGCGATGTGGAAGTGTAAGCTGAATAACTCTTTCCTCCTCAACTAGCTTTTTGGTCATGGTGTTTTGTTGCAGCAATAAAAACCCTAACTAAGACAAATCAGGAGTGGGGTATTGTGGTGGCAGGGTTGACCATGTTTTTGGGAGGATTGGGGAAGAACTTTGGGCTAAAAAAGCCTTTGAGTGTTGAGAGCTCTGTGGGAGCTTGGAAGATAAGAATTTTGAGAGTAGTGCAGAGGATGGCAACCTGGCTTGTAAAGTTTCAAAGGAAAGATTAAAGACTCTATCAGGGTCATTTTTTCTTTTGATTTATGAGTCTGACATTCTGGTTAGCTGGGGCTGAAGAATCAACTGTGATTAACAAGATACCAGAACTATTAAAGCGAAACCTTTGCTTTACTGGGACAAGTGACGCTTGCTGGTCAGCTGGAGCTGAGAATTTAGAGATGATTAAGAAGAGAGCAGCAAGCCAGGTACACCTTTAATCCCAGCACTCAGGATGCAGAGATAGGTGCATCTCTGTGAGTTAGATGCCAGTATAGTCTACAAAGCAAGTTCCAGGACATCAGGGTGTTACACAAAGAAACAGTCTCAAAAACAAACAAGAAACTGAACAACAACAACAACAGTACCACCACCACCACCACCAACAACAACAAAATAAAAAATAAAAAGGGGACCAGCACTATTGACATGCAATCTTCTGGGAAGTGTTTTCTGAGAGCAGAGAAGCTGTGCTCTAGAGGCAGCCATGGTTGGCAGCAGGACTTGGTAATGTGTAAGCATCACCAGGTGGTACTGGATTTGAAGCCATGAAAGGGTCATGGAGAGCAGCTGAGGCTTGGCACCGTGAGAGGCCAGGAGAGGTCATTGGTGAAGGTACAGCCTCAGTAGCAGCTGAAGTCCCAGGAATGAAGGGGTCATGAAGAGAAATTGAAGCTTGGCACCAAAAAGAGAGCCTATGAGAGACTATTGGTGAAAGTGTGGCCCAGTTGTAACAGAGGACCCCAGCAGTTTTGGAAATGTCAATACTATGGGCCAGTTCAAAGAGTATATCAGAACTATCACAACTTTACATCCATTAGTGTTTGCTAATGAAACTGGGAACCCTAATATTTGGTGCATGTATATTTATAATTGTGTATCTTCTTGATGTATTGTTTAGTGTTTACATAAAAGATAAGAGAGAGATCACTCAGATAAATAACCAAATGATGCAATTAAAGATTTTTAGAAAAATAAGAAGTTAAACCCAAATGCATAAGTGACAAGGAACAGTAAAGATTGGAATGGAAATCAATAAAATGGTGACTGAAAGAACCACTAGGGAATGCTTTAAAAATATATTTCCAAGAACTGGAAAACCTAGAAAAAATGGATAAATTCCTAGACACATCTGACTTATCTAATTAAGAAGATATAAATAATTTTAATAGATCCATAATAATCAGTGAAATTGAGGCAGTAATAGAATTTATCTTCACAACAAAAAATCCAGGACCAGATGTATTCACTGTCAAATTATATCAAATACTTCTCCCAGTGTTCTACAAAATAGGAATGGGTGGAATACTTATTCTAGATGGCCAGTTACCTTGGCCAGTTACCCTGGCCCCAAACCAGATAAGGATGTAACAAAAAGAAAACTATAGACTGATTTCCCTGATGAATATACATATAAAATATAGCAATAAGATCCTTGCAAATTATGTTTTCCAGAACATAATAAGATCCTACACTATGACTAAGTTGGTTGCATTCCAGGGATGAAAGGTTGCTTTACCATATATAAGCCAATAAGTTAGTTCAGCACACAGGCTGAGGACAGAAATCAAATGGTCATTTCACAGCAGAAAAGATCATCAGCGAAGTTCAGCATCTCTTCCTGATAAGCCTTGAAGAAACTAGGAACAGAGAGAACAAAGCTGAGCATCATGAAGAGCTACAGTTAGCCTAAAGCCAATGTGACGTTGAGTGGGAAGAAACTAAAACCATCTCTCCAAATTCACTGTGGGAGACAAGGGTGCCCAATCTTACTGCTCATATTCAACAGTATTTGAAGTCTCATGTAGAACAACAAAAGAGAAAGGAAAGCATTAAAAGTAGGAAAGGAAGAAGTCAAAGTATCCCCATTTGCAGGTAATATAATCTTGTTCTTAAGATACCTTAATGACTCCACCAGAAATCTTTTACATCTTTTCAACAATTTTAACAGTGTAGCAAGATACAAAACCAACATACAGAAACAAGCAGCCCCTTTACATAACACTAATGAAGTTATTAAGAGAGAAGAAAAGAAAAAAACTATTTATAATAACATCAAACAATAAACAAAAAGAACCTCAGAAACAAACTCAGTCAGTTATAGCCTTCTAATTTTTGACTAAGGTGAAAAATATAAACTGGAAGGGAAAAAAAGACAGTCTTGTCAACAAATGGTGCTGGGAAAACCAGATCCTCACTGGTAAAAGAATGAAACTCGATCTCTGTCTTTTGCCCTGCATAAAAGTCAATTCAGAATGTCTCAAAGGTTTGAATGCAGGGCCTGAAACTTTCAAACCGACAAGGGAAAACACAGAAAACACTTCAGAACATAGGCATAGGCAAGGGCTTTTCCAAAACCAAAACTTGACAATGGGATTACATGAAATTAAAAAGCTTTGGTCTAGCAAAGGAAACAATCAACAGAATTAAAGAGATAACCTACAGAAAAGGAAACATTCTTGTGTGTGTATGTGTGTGTGTGTGTGTGTTTGCATGTGTCAGAGTCAATGTCTAAAGTATACAAAGAAAACACCACTATTTGAATCAACTGATCAATGGGTAAATGAACTGAAAAGATAGTTCCCAAAAGAAGAAATGCAAATAACAAATGAATATTTGAAAAAATGTTCAATATTCTTAGTTATCAAGGAAAAACAAATTAATACTGCGTTAACTCAGAGGAGAAAACAGAAAAATAAGAACTGGAGGGTGGGGAGGAAGACTGAGAAATGCTGTCTTTGAGCCTTGACATGGCCACTGTGCTCATAAAGTCACTGCAGCTATTCTAATTGACCTAAGACCCACCTGATATCAGGCCAACAAAACCAGCAACATACCAACAGGCAGCACTGATTATACTCAGTTCATTATTTAAAAGAAAAAAAATGGAGAGGACGTGAAACGCAGGAGGGTTTGTTTTGGGGGTGGCACCTGGGAGAACGGGAGCAGGAAGGTGG